CCCAAACAGACCTCATCCTCTGAAACAAATGCGGCGGCTCCAAAGGCTATTACCACATTCATTTGTTAAGAGAAGTGAATAGCGACCAAACAATTATTGAGCTCACGTTAACCAATTCAAAGATCCAGTTGTTACCAATAAAAAAATAATGCGCTAATCACGTACCATAGCTAATGCATCAGGTGGAAAATTATATAGCTGATCCTGAGATGCATCCGGTGGCTCGGAATAGAATGAGAGAATCTCGTACGGGTTGGACGAAACGAGATGAGGATAGGGACAACGACATGGATAAGCATATGGATAGAACATGAGTCAAATAAACGTGTCTTTAACAATGAGGAAGTTGATGAGGATGCAAGTGGATTAGCAAAATGGAATATGTGATGCAATGTTGTATGATGCATAAAAATGTCACTGATTGATGAAATTGCACACGCTCACTACTAGTTTCATGCAACGAATTGAACGATGAAGGCAATAATCTGAATGAGTTCGTTCATCATTTTGGCATCAACCACAACACCAGCAGCAGCAGCAGCAGCANTGCTTTTGCAATGTGCACAACATTTTTGGTGCAGCAAATTCAATCAAATTAATTGCTGATTAATTCGATGAATGCGAACAAAACCTTGCATCTGTTTTGGCTGCGCTGATGAAAATTTGTTTGAGACAGTGTTTTTTTTTCTGATTCATGCTTCCCTTTAATATCGCAGTGGCAAACAATGAACAAGTCTAGATTACTTGGTAATTGATTGAGTTTAGATTACTTCTGCAGTCATGGATTAAACTTGAGATGAGTGATTGCTCAAAATAGCATTAGTTTCACTCAGCAATTTTGATCTGAAATTCCTTTACCCACTACTTTGCAATTTCTAAGAATTTCAAACGTGAAGGTAATCTTTTCATGGTGAAACAAACTTACCCATCTTCAAGCAAGATCATTCAAAATACTCACAATCAGTAAGAAGATGATCTACTCGTTAGAAGTTACAGCGGTTCAATTGATTCTGATGCTATGAGCCGCCGAAAATGCAAAATTGTCTTACTATTAATAAAAGCTTGGACGTTCTGAATGAGTCACAACAGGGGAACATTCGAAACTGATACAGCGAACTAATCGAGAGTGCTACACAAACTGTCAACATTCATCAATTATCGCACATCTTAACGACCATATCGAATGAACGATAGAGTACTGAATAACGTTTCAGGAATGCAATCAGACTGAATTCGACTATTACAATGCTGACCTTATGATTCGATTTTCACACAATCTGCTACTAATGCTCACAATTCCGATAATCAGTGTTCATCGAACCATCGAAATTGTTAATCCAATCACTGATACGCAATCACTAATTGATGAACCATAACTACTGATCATTTAGCGATCAATGGAAGAGAATCATTTTGTGAATTCCAATGTTCGCGATGAAGTCGCAATGAATCAAATTCGAAAAACCTTAATTGAGATTTTAAGGAACATCATCAACGTGGAAGTTTTCAGAAGACGACCGGGAACTCAACGGAAATTGCAATTCATTGTACAAAAATTACGAGAAAAAAATTTATTAACCAGTGAATGTGAATGTGAAGATGGACGGCAATTAGAACGTCGGTAGAAGGACACTTCAAAACAACTAGTTGTTCGAATAGCACTCGATGACTCTATCACAATTCAAAGACTCATTCTCCTTTCTATCGTGACTGGCTCAAGCTGTAGGAATAAGCGACAGCTTCAAATCAAGGATATGTTGCGAAATTAGTGATTATTTCATGGCAACAACATCAGGAGAAACTAAATCTCGAATATGTTTGGAACGTCTCAAAAATGAGCGAGGAGTGGGATGTATGCAAAATTCACTGATTGCTTCACATGGAGGCAACTGAGGAGGAGAACTGAAAACTCGAGAAGATAACTGCAGCATATTAATCATCCGAAAACGACTATTGCCTGACATATAAACATTTTTGCTATTTGCTAAATNGATCAGAATGAGCCATGACAGATGACTGTCGAAAGAACTGCCTAGAGGAACTGACACAATTTCAATCTGCTAAATCTTCGTTCTCGTTTCTTCAATCAAACGCCTTCAAAAAGAAAGATTGATCGAATATAGGCGTTATATTATAATTATAGTTATGAATGGATGGTGCGTTGTCCTTGGCCATAATACTATATCAGAAATGCATGAAACATTTTTTGTGCAAGCAATTTGAGTTAAATGATGCGTGAAAACTGCAGCCTCCACTGATCTTGCCGATTTCTCAAGCGCAACAAATCACCGTCAATTACGAGTTTTATTTACATGTTCGACAATAGAGTGAGCGATTGACGTATTTTACAGTATGAAATTATGTGCGATTTATAATGCGAAAAGAATTTCCGATTCGAAAAATTTACAATCATTTCATTCGGTTAATCACTTCAAGAGAAGTGCGTAGTTGTTGTGATTGATATTATGTAATAATAGTAATAACTGTGAAGTTATCATATTACATCATTCAGTAAAAGACCGAGCGTTCATAACTTGAATTATTTGTCAGCCATCTCAGCGGGTGGCACCGAATGTGAGCGTTGCACTGATCACTTCAAATGGAGCATATGTGTCATTAGTGGCTTTTCGATTCATACAAACTCAGAATGAGTGAAACATTCTAATCATACGTGGGAAATTCTCAATGAGAATGCAACTAAAAATAACAGAATCACGAGGAAAACGACAATAATATTAATAAAATCATCGTTATTACGAAGAAATATAGCAATAGCAATGACAAAAGCTATTGATCACTAGTGGCTATTGATCGATGCTTTTGACAAAAAGCGATAGCGATTCTGACAAAAACTTGCGCACTCCCGTGGTGATCCTAATAACATCCGGTGAAACATGCCGACAGAATTACATCGTTAGTGGTTATGGAATGAATTTCGTTGATGATAACCGGATCTTATAAGCAGTCGTCGCAATGAACAGGCGTTAAATTGTGGTCATTAATTGGGAACAGTATATATAAAGAGGAATCAATTTCATCTCATCTCACTCGCATTGTTTCTATTTCTAATTATAATCATCCAACATCGCCACTCAATTCGACTCAATTTGATATTTTAGTGAAAATCGTGGAGAATTATCTTTGACTTTGAGTTGATAATTGATATTGATTGTTCAATCTGTTGTATTTATTGACCGAAGTAATGAGTTGATCTAAAGGGAAAGAATGAAGAACTTGTTGAGGGATATGATCAGAGTACGGTCAATCGAACAGTGCAACTTATATCATGTTTGCATTCTTGACAGACTTTTCGTAAAATGATTTTATGCGCTGCTTTTAACTCTATCATTACTGTGCTCTAGGCATTTCCAAATTTGTGATATTAGCACGCATTATAACGCATTGTGAATTTACATCCACAAATGATACAGATCGCTTCAAATAGGCTAAGTAAACGTTAAAATATGGCAATTTCTCATAACATATCTTGTCCTGAATCTGTAATGAATTTGGAACATTACGATTCTCAGTTGTTTTTTCTTTCTGAATGAAAAAATCGTTGCGAATCGGAGCACTGAACTAAGCCCAAAAACCTGTCAAAATTTTTGGCATTCTTAAGGCGTGCGAACCATTTTTATCGCATGTGAATGGGGAGGCGCTGAAAACCTGAATTTTGCATTCCATCACAAACAATATATCAAAACAATGTATCAGAACAGTGGAAAAAATCATCGGTATTGAAGAATACAACTTGAAATAGGAATTACTATTGAATGAGAATCATGAAAGGGAAGCGCACAGAAGATAACTCAGGATCTACACTCGCTTGTGAAGAACGGAATTATCAGGTTATTCCACATGAGCAATGCGAGCATCAATCGAGAAAAACTTGTCATTAGAATGAATATGAAGTTGTTCTAGCGTGACCAATTCGGCTTTATACATTCCGAAAGTTCCATGTAACAATGTAATCCATTGAAAGAATGTTTCCCAGCCATTATTCTTTATACACCTCGATTTTCCTTTCAGATCAAACACGATTCATTCCGAGACATCGACTACCAGCAGTTGATGTACTACCTTCTTCAGTATGAAACACTTCAAAGAATTCCTTCTGGATTGTAATTGACAGTTACAAACAACAAGTTTCGAAGTTTCTCAAAATGACTGTAATATCTGAGGAACTGGTCGAAGAACTCACGAATCTGCAGCAATTGAAACAATGGGATTAACAACAGATCGCATTAGAAAAAGCAACAATCAAGAAGACATTGTCATGATTCCGTGAAAAATCCACCTACACGAAACAATATAATGCAAACGATCGTATAAAACTTCGTTGGCAATTGAAAGGTGCATCTGAGAAGTATTTAGCAATCAGTTTATTTGCAATAGACTGGAGTGCAGCGATGTGCTGCTATGCGCTCTTGAGAAGAGATTTTGAGTATGACGGGTAGATGCTTAAGTAAGAATGTGACTGTATAGTTAAGAGTTGGGTACTTGTTGAGGGAAAGATGTTGCAAACGAGGATGGATGGTTTTGAACGATGTGTTTGTTTGATGAACAAGCTCTATTTGTATTTGTGTGTACAAATTCTTCACAATTTTGCCATATCTAAAACGACGACCGATAAACCATTACTATAAACTCATTCATCAATTTGAAAATTTCACCGCATTTTGCTACACTACCAATTGGTTTACTTTAGCTTGAAAACAAAAAACTTTCGGATAATTTTCCTCTCCTGTTCGTCTTGCCGAATGTAGATTGTAACTGTGCTACTGACATTGTATCGAACCACTCCAATAAGCTCGGCCTGATAACCTAATTGAACAGTTGGATGGTTTTGGACACGCTTCTTACTGTTACAAGGATTCTCTGCAAGGATTTTTGCGAATCGATGTTGGATCATGCTTGTGCCCAATTATCATTAAACATAGCGGGTAAATGACGAACTTTTGTGGAGCTGTATATGTACTGTATTTGACAATAACGTTCGATGTTTTTCTTTCATAGCATTGATGGTGTTGAATCGCCACTCCAGTAATTTCAGTAATTCAGAAACATTTTAAGTTCATACTGTGTCATGATCAGCGTGTGTTCGTTAAAGAGAAATTGCGGAGTAGCGTAGCTTGAGACAGGTCTGAGGAGGCGACTGGCACAATGAGAACTTTTGAATGATCCACAGCGCGATCGCAAGTTTTGATGAGAAAATTGAAATAAGCGGAGTAACGTTAGCGATTAACCGACTAATTTTGTTGATTGACTCATTAACGGAGAATCCTGCTAATTCGTCGAATCAGCGATGGACT